GTTGATCTGGCAAATAAAAATGAGAGATTTGTGGTGTAAATTTGAATGTTTGCTTCTTTTCTCACCCACTTAGAGGAGAATTTATCATGTTGTATCTCTGAAATCTTACTGGGACTGCAACAAACGAGCTTTATTTACTCGGTTGTTTCGAGCATGTACCGTTAAACCAGGATTCTTGCTGGATAGTTAAACATGTTTTTTTGTGGGTTTTTTTTTTTTCCGGTGAATACGATCAGAGACAAGAGAAGAAGTCGATATCTGGGAGTTTTAGGGCAGAGAATCTCATACCAGGGGTTGTGATAGGATTCATCATAGGTATGATATTGGATTTATCACAGCAAGTGAAATCCCCAGTGAAAAGGAGCAGACTTTTATCGAGCAAGGTCCAGAAGCAGAGTTCTGTACCAGGCAATGGCAAGGACCAAGAGCTTAAAATGGTTTGTCTATCATCTAGTGTAGTGTTAGTCTCTTGTCTCTGGCCCTAGAATTTATTGGTTTGGAGAAAAGTATTGTCACTTAAATCCTTATATACAAAACCTAGGGATAATACAAGCTGATTTCTGTTCCAAACCCATCAAATGACAGAGATTTGAGCTTCATAAAAGAGACTTGCATAAACTATACAAGGATGGTGATAAGTTTTTAATGATGTTAGATTTCTAGACTAAAAGTTAAAAGCAGAACATTTGTGTCACTAATTTCAGCTTGTTCTGATCACAGGTATTGGTAGTTAGGCAAGACTTGAAGATGAGGACAGGCAAAATTGCGTCACAGTGTGCCCGTAAGTGTCTTAAGAAATGTGTTTGAAATTTGAACACTACCACTTTTTGTTTTAGGCCTGAAAAGTAAAATGACTTTCTTTCTAATATTCGCAGATGCTGCCACCGGCATGTATGCAGAGTTGATGCAGAGGTAATTTCGTCTGAAGTGAGTTGTTTGCTTTGTATAATGCATCAGTCCGGGGTTTATGTTTTCTTTTTGTTTTATTCTTAATTCTTCTAGTGACCGATATCTTCTGAGGCGATGGGAGGAAAACGGGCAACCAAAGATAGTTGTCACTTGCAAAAACCAGCAAGAAATGTAAGCAGGTGAAAATTTTGGGGAAACAGACAAAGTGCACATCAAGAAATATGATTACTTAACTTCTTGTTAGTAGGTTATCTTAATAAATTTGAAAGCTACATCTATCTTTTCTGCTCTCAGGAATAAGATCACAGAGGCTGCTGAGAGCGTTGGCCTCCCGACTTTTGTTGTAGCTGATGCTGGCAGAACAGAGGTAATTACAAGAATCTTAGTTTTCTTACTTTGTCGTGCTTGATCAATTATTGAGACTGAAAGAATAATCAAAAGCTCCTCCTATACAAAGAAAATCTGAAAGTTTCTACTAATCAAATAGACAGAAGACAAAAACACCATCCGACTTATTGAAACACGAGAAGAATTAAGACGGAATTACCTGTTCTTGAATTGAAAACTATGTGTGGATTTTTTGTGGTAGGAGTAAGCTAAAAAGGTCTTCTGGAAACTTAAACTCTTCCTTTCACAGGTTGCGGCTGGATCAAGAACAGTTCTTGCAGTTGGGCCTGGTAGAGACAATAGTTTCTTTAAACTTCTGTTTCTAGCTAGAGCAAGGTGTTGATCCTCAACATGTTCATTACTTTTTCTGTGCAGGACCAAAGGAGTTGGTTGATTCCATAACTGGTAGGCTGGCTTTACTCTGATTCAGGAGCTTTTTCTTGGCGTAGTTCCTCTGGGATTTTGATTTCTCCAGGATTAAGGCAAGGCAATGTTGTTGTGTAATGATTAAACAAGGTTCATGTTAGATTTGTTGTTGGTTAATTTCCTTGCAGTAGTTCTTCTACCGGTTATTTGGTGTTGAATTCATGTAAATTTCGATTACATTCTGACACTTCCAAGTTTTTACCGTTGTAATATAGGGTATTATTAGCTTCCAAAACCAAGGTAACACCCAGAATTTGATAGTCAAAATTAACAATTTTTAAACTAATGAAGGAAACATTCTCATATATACAAGGGTACATTAGAACATGAATGCCAAGATTGATCGGTCTAACCGATAGCACTACGCTATTATTGATCCCTCGGCAGTCAATAGTAGACTTCTACAAAAAATAAAAAATGAATAAGTTAAAATTTTAAAAGTACATTTATTTACAACAAAAAAAGTTGTAAAAATCATAATCGTAGTATAGTTTTATTTTCCCTGTACTGATATATAAATGATTTTGAAGAGAATCTAACAATACCACTCCTTGTACCGACATGCTCTTCTAACTCTCTCATCATTTAAAAAGCTTCCGGACATTACTAGAAACGTACTGTGACACTTTTTTCCCGTCGTACTACCTCAATTTTACGTACATGTCTCAGTGCTTTTGTTAGAAATGATTCTTATTAGTGTATTTACTTATGTTTGTTTAGTTTTGTATATAGTATGTGTGTGTGTAGCGTATATCGTCCTTCTCATGTTTTAAGTTTTATATTATTATGAGAAAAAAAAAAAAAAAAAAAAAAGTTTTATATTATTTCTTTTTCTCCGTTTTAATTCTTTCTTTTTTTATGTAACATATTGGTGACTTTGGAATGGATTTGCTTTTGATACTTTCTTTGAGTGACGTCGAAGTCTTCCCCAAAGTTCAGCTCGCTACGTTGGACCGTTATGATTCCACATTATTATATAAATATCTATATGCATCACATGGCATACAGTATACGCAACATACTCACATGACTCCATAAATTTTAGATATATGTGTGCTTTTACGTATTCTTTTCTTTCTTTTTTTGATATGATATAAACCAACATAAACAAACAATGTCTAATATTGTTTATAAACAAATAATAAATGTTTTTTTAATTAACAGTTATGTTTGGATGATAGTTAACAAACAAAGAAAAACAGTGAGAGAAATTTCGAAAGAGTTTTAGTATTATATTGGGTCTAAATGGTAACCGAGGAATTTGGCTGAATCCCGCTGAATTGCTGAATCTGGCTGAATTTTTAGTGATTTTTAGCTGAATCTGGCTGAATTTTTACATTTTCAAATGGTAACCGCTGAATCTAGCTGAATTTTTTTTTGTGATTTTTAGCAGAATCTGTCGAAATAATTAAGATTTAACTGAAAATATCATCAAATAATTATGAATATTATTAGAATAACTAAGAAAATTATCTAAATAAAATAGATAAAAATATCTAATAGTCTAATTAACTCCGATACTAATAAATAAATACTAAAATTATTATTATTATTAATAATATATTGTTAGCAAAATTAAGTTGTTCTTCCAAATTTAATTTTTGAGCTATTAAAAAGATGTAGTTAATTAATAAAAAGATTTGTCAAACTTTTACTAAAAAATTCATTTAAAAATAAACATAATAATATAGTATAGATTATCTAATTGATTTTTCATTGTTCTCTAGTAGTTTAAAATCATTAATATGATTAGGATGATTAAGAATTTTTTAAAATTTGATATTTTAAATATTATTTTAGCATAAGTATGAATTTGTTTTGCGAAATTTTGAAAAATTATATTTAATTATCTAAAAGTTATTAAAATTATCTATAGTTATCCGAACATAAAGTCGTCTATTTTCTATTCTGGTAATGATTTTATGTATCTGAATTATTCATATATCGCATTTGTATGATCTGATTTATTTGAAAATATAAGTTTGATGTGTAATTTTTGATATCCAGAATATTTTAATTCGAGTTGTGTAATCGCGATAATCCGAATTTTTACCTGAAATGAACATATTACGTATATGTTGGTGTTGGAAGAACTGCTGAATCTGGCTGAATTGAGCTGAATTTAATTTTATGCAAATGGTAACTGCGGAATTGCTGAATCTGGCTGAATCCAGCTGAATATTTTTTTTATGTTACCATTTACACTCATTATCTCATTTACTGTGGAATGCATAGGCTTTTGTAAAGGAGTTCAAGCCTACCATTTGGTAAATTACTAAATTTTCAGATCAAAGTGAAAAGTTGAATGGAGTGATAAGAATTGTTTGTGCATAGATAAAATCTAATAATAAGGATCGCTTCAACCAAAAGAAATTAGACATTACAAGTACAGTCCGTGGACCTTTACCTATATATCTCTATCAAAATAAAATATTGAATGTTGGTTAAGAGGAGGACCATTTTTTTATTATAGCTATATAAACTACTATACATCATAAATTTCGCCCACTTGCTGGTTAGGTTTGCATGAGAATGCATGTGATGAGCACCTCAATCTATGCTTCATTTTCCTTTATTTAATTAAATAATAATTCAATATGACTTTTGTGCTGTGCAAATTTGTATTTGTCCCTATATATTATACTAAATATATTTCAGATTAATACTAAAGCGTCAGATTTCCTCGAATATTGTCAGAATGTAAAACGTGAAAGAAGTTAAAATTCGGGGGATAATTAAGTTTGATAGATTATAATAACTCATCTGTCAAAAATGAACGAGCATCCTCCTTGGATCCCGGTGCTTTGGGTGAATAAGTAAATACAGTTTCATGTAATCTCAAAGTTCCTCTGAATTTGATTTTAATTTGAATGGAATTATATAGTTCTTAATCACACAGGCAAGTGCAACCAAGTTAACCACACACACACACACTTATTAACACTTTATAATAATAAAAAAACGGAAGAGAAAGGGAAATACCAACTATTTGGATTTTTCATTTTGGGTTCTAGTTGGTTCAATTATTTTCGTGACTATTAATTCGACATATAAAAACCAGAAACAGATTGATATATACGTACATCATGATTAATTAACTCGTTTCTACCCTGCCTACAATTATTTTATAACCTTTCTAATTTAAAATTTGGGAAGTCGAAGACCAAAACAAAAGTTATCAAATATACCAATAGTACTAGTAGTAGTAGTCTGCAGAAAATGAAAAACAATTAGATGTAAAAATTAAAAAAACAGAAAAAAAAAAAAAAAAAAAGCTAAACGAAAAGAACAAATTATTGCGAAATTATCCACGTGGAAATAGGAAGCTAGATTAAGTGTCTAAAATCAGAAGCCACGTGGTTATTATTATTATGCATTACGAAATCTTCACCGTTGGATCTGATATCCATCAGTAGATTCTCACACCTAAGCTGACTCAGCAAATGCTCGTCTCTCATCTCCTTCTGTCGCCGGAGCTCCATCACTTTCCGGTGAGAGTTCGAGTGCCTCGCCATCACGAACGTTGGGCTCGACGCAGGTCTATACTCCGGCACGAGCCTCCCTGATTTGTACCTTACTCCGCAAGCGTTGCAAAGCGTCTTCGGACCCATCGGTCCCGTCCTCCATTGCGGCGTCTTCTCCGTCGCGCAGTGCAGACAACGTCGTCCTCCTCCGGTTTCTCCGCAGTCAACGTCCATATCTGCGGCGAAGTCTTGTTCTTTAACTCTTCGTTGTTTCTTCTTGGGATTGGTTTCGTCGGAGTCGGCTAAGGATAAAAGGCGGGAAGCCCACGTGGAGGCTGCAGAGCGTGATCTCTTGCTTCTCGCTTTGGCAGGAACGGCGACGTTGGATTCATCGATGTCGATGAATTGATCAAAGTCGGGTTCGGGTTCGGATTTAATCAGGTGGGTCAGGGTCGACCCGGTGGTTTGAGGGTTTTTTAAACCGGATAATAAGTGAAGCTTGTCTTGGACTTCTCCTGAGAATGATTCTTCCACAAAATTTGATAGCCATTCTAATTCAGCTATGTCGTCTCTCTAATAAAGTGATTATTAAATAAGAAGAAAAAAAGTGTTAATAGTTCAAAAATATATCTCATTTTCATAACAATTGATGTGAATAATTTAATGGAAAATTACCGGAACACAGAGGTCGGAAAAGCCAGTGACGTCGGTGAAAAGCGAGGAGGAGTTGGAACTGTCGGTGAGAGTGCCGGTGGAGAGGGCGGAAGAATCGGGAAGAGTTTCAAAGCCGTCGTCAATTTCACCGTCGTCGTTAGAAAAGTCAAGGAGGTCGTCGACGACGAAAGAGTCAGTGTTACCGGCGACGAGGAAAAGCTCCGAGGTTAGCCGTTCCATTGGGGGAACAACAGAGAAGGTTAGAAATGTAAATAGATGAAAAAGGAAGAGACTTTTTGGGAGGAGAGCGAAGAATGTAGCGGAGAGAAGGAGAAGAAGAGAGAGAGATGAGAGGTCTATTTTTGGGGTTGTGTAAAGGAGAGTGATGTTAGAGAAAGTTATGGTTCATGTGAGAGATGAGAACGAGACAGAGGACAGCTAAAACAGAGGAACTTTGACTGTGTGTTACTCTTTTTTTTTCTTTTCTTGTATTATTAAATGGATTTACTAAAATTATAACCAACGAAATTATCTTTGAGAGACATTTGCTTAGAAACAAGGGGAGGTGAATCCCAAAAACAATTCATGATTTTCTAACTAATGCATTTAACTATTTTTAATTCCTTTTGGTCAAGCTCTTGAATTCTGTAATTAATATTTTTATCTTGAATTTAGAACTTGTAAATTGTAATCTTCAGTCTACGTCTTTACGTACAATCAAAGAAAATGAAAAAAAAAAAAAACTTATTTGCAACTTCGATACTATATATGAATCCAATACTCTGATACTGTATATCAAAAGAATATCAAGAAAATGCATTCAAAAGAATTTAACGAGCTCGTTGGAAGTGTAAGTAAAACTAGATTAATAAATAAGAGAGATAGGTTAATCGAGTTAGAAACTATGAAATTTAACATAATATAAAAACTCGAGTTTGATCCATATAAGATGACTCAAATTTGAGATATTGTCGATCCTAGAGTGAGATTTGGTATGAGATGGGATCATGGGACGGAAAAGCCATTAATTATCAAAAAGAAAATCTCAAATGAGGAAGATGTTGAAAAAAACTTTTAATGTTACAAAAAAAGCTAACAACCCCATGAGCTATGTTTTGTACATGAGCTGAAAAATGATATTTTATATCACCAGACCAGAACTCAATGTTTGGTAAATTTCTCGGTTCATTATCAATGTGATCTTAATCGTGCATGTAAAATCACTTTTTATTACATCCACACACCTCGTATTTGATCTTTATTGTGAATTAGAACCTCCTCAAAAACTTCAGTGTAGTGGTGCCTACCATCAACATCACAACTTTGTCGGTTTCTAATGAGTATAGTGTTGTTGCATTCAACTTATAACTCACATGTAATAATTTTGTAAGTATATATGCATGATTTCTTCAACTAGAAATCTTAAAAACTTCAGCATCTCAGATGTAATAACATTTTATTTTTCTTGCGGCCTAGAGATGTAATATCTATGATGTAAATCATGTAATACAACTTTAAATCAATGTGTGTTGGGTTCATGGTGAACATTGTTCTTCAATAAGCAAAAGATGACTTTCAAAATCACACTTGTGTTTACTAGAATACTGATTAATAATTATCAAAAAAAAAAATGCTGATAAAAACCAATATATTTCACAGCCTTTTAAGCTATACACATTTTTATTTGGCTCATGAAACAAATACAGTGAAACCTCTATAAATTAATACTCTATAAATTAATAACCTCTCTAAATTAATAATTTTTTCCGGTCCCGAGTTGGGACTAGTGTAAAATATGACATAAATCGATAAATTAATAAGATAATAATTTTTTTGAAAATCTCATGTAAACATATGGTCCCATCTATATCATAAATTAATAATTTTATTAACTTCTCAATATATATATATACATTATAAATATATATATATAAATTATATAAATTTATATATGTAATATATGAATTACTATAATATATATTTAATATATTGTATGTAAAACATTTGATGAAATATGACTCTATTATTCGAAAAAAGTTTGTGTTGTTTTTTAAACTTAATAATTGTTTCTCCACTTGTAATTAGTTTAAAAAAGATATTGTTTATAAAGTAAAAATTTATTTTTAGATAGAAATTTTTGTAAGAAATTACAAAATTAGGAAAATCTCTTTATAAATTAATAATTATTAATTTATCGATAAATTAATACCTCTTTAAATTAATAAAATTTCTTGGTCCCAACATTATTAATTTATAGAGGTTTTACTGTAGTATGCTTTTAAGTTGTGAAGTGAGCAACCATCTCGCTCTCTGAACAAAACATAAAATGGGCCTTTGTCAAATTATACGCACAGTATTGCAATAGTTTTTAATCGGTCTGGACATGTAAAGTTTTTAAGCCCAATGGCATAAAGTTCATAATTCTCAAAAATTAGAAAACATAATATGTGTGGTCTAGACCAAAGCCGAAAGCCCAAAGCCTAAGTAACCAAAAAAAAACAAAGAAAAACAAAATTTAACATTTCATTTGATTTATGCATATCATTTTCATCAATTATAAGTTGAAAGGTTCGAAAGTTTGTCTGTATCAGTGAAATGAGAGGTTTTAGAAAGTATTCAGTATGTGTAATTTTGTTTTTGTAGTATGTTTACTAAGGATTTTTGATATAAGTATGCAAATACAGATGTTGCCTTTATAGCTAAATCGGCTAAAATATAATATTAGAGATCTCACAACTTTTTTAAAGAAGAGATTTGGTTTGGCATAAAAGTGCGGCCGCCGAATATTCTCCATAAACTTTCTTAAATCGATAAAGAAATTAAAGAATTACGGAATCACCCACTAATTAATCCATACAATTTTAAATATAAGTATTCAGTAATGGGCCACGGTGGCCCGTTTAGCCTCGAACGCAGCTTAAAATGGTCCCACCACTTAATTGTCGGCCCACGCTGAGCACCGCTCTATTTCTTTGTGCGCCTTTGGCATATTGGCGTGTCTTTTTATTTTATTTGTTTCAACTTTCTGTTTCTGTTAATGTTACTATTTAAATTTTATTTCTTATCTTTACTTTCACGGCTTCTATTTTCTATTCTTTTTTTCGACAGTTTTCTATTCTTTTAAAAAAGGAATTATTATGTTTTTTAATCAATGTCTATCTGGACTCTAGACATTTTAGTACTTTAAGGTATTCCACTTATATTGAATTTATAACTTATAGTAGCCTTATTTTGTAATCCAACTAATTATAGGATACTAAAGGTTGAACGATAACAGTACAACACTATAACCGTACTAATAAGATTAAGTGGAAAAAGCAAAAAAAATAGTATGAACAGATTAAAGTGATTAGTGGTGACATTAATAAAAATGATCTACTCATAGTTATTATCAAATTTTAATTAATTATTTAAAACATTTTAAATAAATGAACCATTTAAAATCTTACTTCAAAATTATGATCGCGATCCAACGAGTGGAAAATACAAAATAGCATGAGAAATTGTCTTACTTACCTCATATGGAAATGGAATTGAAAATATTACTCCCTCTGTCCCATTTTATTAGATGTTTAGACTAAAAGCACATAGATTAAGAAACAATAAATGTTTTCCCATTTATGAAAATTCAACCAATAGAAGAATATACTGCATAATTAAAATAATTAAAAACTATTAAACTAATATAAATCATGCATTGAAAGTAGAGAAAATCTTATATAATGGAACAAATAAAAAAACCTAAAACATCTTATATATTGGGACAGAGGGAGTATTAAATAAGTAATCCGTTACGGTGACGGAGCAAACGGACGGCACAATTGTCGAAAGGAATGTGTCTGGAGCCAGTTTTGTTTAACAGCTTCTTCACGCCGAAATATGAGACACGTGTACTGTTCTCACGCCCTCGTGTTCTTCCTAATGGTAACATACATTCCTCGTTTTTACTTTTTGGGATTTGGTATCTAACTATCTATCATTATAAACAAGAAGGAATGTATTCAATCTCGTATTAAAGTCAGTAATACGAAATTTTGAGTTTTTTTTTAATCAATCTTATGCGACTTAGAGAATATTATATATAGTTTGGAACCTATTCATGACGAACTAATTAAACAGATTTTGAAGAGTGGTCTTTAATTTATAGTATTCTATATAGGTCACTTTGATGATTTAATTATTTAAGTTTGGGATTCTATATTTCTCGATATTTCGACCCATTGGAGTTCAATATATTTAAGTTACGTGACGTGATCAGTATGACGTGAATTCTATAGTCTATGATAAAGTGTTACTGATCGGTTGAACAATAATATGTGTGAGATTGAGATCAATAGTTAATTTGAGAAGTTTATGTTAGGAGAAACTGTGAATATACCTAAGCCTAATATATAACGTATGAAAATTTTTAGCCAGAGCATGCAATTCATCAAATGCTAGTAAATCCAAACGGATATGATCGATCATAGAGAAGTGAAATTCGATCCAATAAATAAATGGAAAAAAAAAACACAATCATCATTTAAAAGGGAAAAATACTAGAGGTGAACGGTGAATCCTTATATTTGTTCCTTTTATTTTAACCAATCAGAATTGCCACATTATAATAAAAAAATAAATCATTTAATTATAAAATTTAATTTGCCACTAAAACGAAATTATGTAAGAGATTGAATTTATTAGAAAGGAGTATGGTTTAGATTTGACTTTCTTTGTTAAAAAAAAAATCTTAGAACGATACTTTTGGTGTAACATGCAATTAACCCCTCTTGATTTTTGGTAATAAATTTCCTTTTATCTTAACCTTGGATTCGTTAAAGAAGCAAACCCACCAAACCTGGTCTGCCATTATTACCGTCTTTATCAAGTTCATTTTCTTTTTGTTTTTCGTCAACTATCAAAATAACATTGGTTTAATTTGTTTTTAAATAATCAAATATTTCTTAGGAAAGTAAAATTAAGAAATTAAAATGAAAAGTGAAAGTATTATGGTAGTTGTGAGGTGACTTAGCATTGACCTGAAAAAAATCAAATCAGGTGGGAGGCATTGACTCTTTGCCTTAATGTTGAAAACAAAATGATACCCAAAAAAACAAAAGTTGATTTCCTTTTTTTTTTTTTTGTGTATGTGGGGTTAATCCTTTCAATTTACTCATCCTTTCGATAAATTTTGTTTTAATCTTCCCCCACCCAAAAAGTTACATTCTGTTTACATATCATACTTATTTTCACCTTTTCCAAATTACTCCTCCTTTTGTTATTTTTATTTGATTTTATTTTTTATCTTTAAAATTCCAGTCCAAAATGTTTTCTTATATTTTCTAAGTATTACTCCATTATCGGTTTTACACGATAAAACTACTCGGTTATAAACTACTAAATTA